TCTTCCCTGTTCCAGGTCCACAGCATGTATAGGCAGACTGATGCCAGCTTCCAGAAGGCCCAAGCTGAGTTCGCCACCGGAGTTATGTCCAATCAGACTGTCCGCCAGGCTGCAGCCAATGCTGCCCAGGGGGCCTTCACCGCACCTCAATAGAGAGGGACGAAAGGGGCTGGGAGGGTAAGAAGTGGAGGGGGGGACCCTTTCAGGTTGGCAGGGGATCTGTTTGTTATTCATTTCCTCACAGGTGATTAGAATTTGATGGGGGGCACCAAGTCTATATGATTAGCCCTGGGCAACTGAACTTAAGGGCACATGCATGAGTCAAAGGTGGGTCGTCTAATTTCAAAATGTGTACAGGGCAGGTTACGGTAGCTATATTGCCAAACCATGAGTCAACATATTGTAAGTGTTGATTCAAGAAACAGAATAAAGGTGTGAGAAAACAAGTTGCCGAAGCTTTATGAAATTTAGCACAGTTGTACTAAACTAGCCTGGATATTTCCAATTTTAAATGGGAAATGTGTGTGCGTTTTGTTTACAAGGAGCCTAGTCTGAGACAAAGTGTAAGAGTTGGAGCTGATCACAGAAATGTTGCCATTCTAACGTCTGATCTACAACTGACTGGATCAGGTTTAGCCAACGTTAACTGCTTTTTGTAGCTTAAGTGTAAAACTAACTAGCTGTTTTGTTATTGATCCAGATGAGAATGCCTATTTATCTTACTGCCAAAACATCTCATACTGTAAAGATTATGAAGAAATGTTGCTTTGGTTGCAATGCACTATATATCTCACTGTGGTGTTCGTGTAGCTTGTTGTTCTTATGATTATTACAGATCACTGTTTTGGTTTTAATAAAAATGTACTGCCATGCTTATACTGTCTACTGCAGTTACTGTTGTCATAACTTATGGATTAACATTAATATACTAAGATAAATTAATTAAAAAAAAAACCTATGTGCTGGTCACAGGATGCTCCTCAGCAGATGGAGCCACCCAGTTGTCATGGAAACTGTTTCCAAGATCAATAATGAACTTCCGATCTTGACAAAATGGAAGTGTCAAATTTATCCGAGGTGACCATACAAGTGTATTTATGTTTGAGTCAAACATCCCACTTAAGGCAATTCAGTATTTTAACACTGTATGATCACAGATTTAGTACTGTTATTAGCTGACATTTTATTCAGTACCTGGAATTGCCACGGTAGGAAGCAACTTGGGTTGTGCCTCTGCAGCGTAAAAGATGAGCTAAGCTAGTGATGTTAGCTTTACAAGCTTATAACACAGGTACACTGTTCAAGAAATTTGAGCCTTTTTTTTAAAGAGATACAGAGGAGGATTATAGCCACTGCTAAACAATTCCTGACTTTATCTCAACATTCTGACTTTAGTCTCAGACTTATGACTTTTGTAAAGGTCTGCTTTAAAGTCAGAATTCTGAGGAAAAAAGTCAGCTCAAATTTTGTACATTCTTTGCAGTGCAAGCCCTTAAAAATGTATATGCATTTAAAAGGAAGATACTATGAAATATGAGCTGAACATAAAAGGAACCTTTATCAGCTAATTTATGTATTTATGCTTAATTAAGGAACCCACACACTTGATTCATTGCTGATGATGCATTCAAATTGGAATTAATTGATTACTTGACTAATTTCGTTTGAATGTTGTAATGTGGTGGTCATATGAGATAAACCAAGTATGCAACAGTATGCAATTTATTGTACACTATAAATTAGTATCTTTACCTGTGTAGCCTGAAGTTTCTCTGTTCTGTCCTCTGAGCCTTTTTAGTTGTCACCCCAAGATTTTCACTGGCCCATAAGCTACTAATGTTCCATCTACAGCCATTTTTATGGGCACCAAACTTTCCTGGACTACTTTGATCCATGGGACAACAGGCTGCCACGTTGACAGGCGCTGCACTTAACAGTGAAGATGGTGCAGGCTGTGGGCACACAACACCAGTTTTTTCTGTCACTACTGTAAATGTGAAATAAACTCAAGGTGAGTCACTATGAGTGTTTTGTTCCACATGTGCTGGCCTGGGAATCATCCATTGCCCCCTAGAAGGAGGAATTAAGATTTTCAGACATTTAAAGAAAAAAAAAGTGCAAAGATTAATTTTTGACTGCTTGCTCAAGAAGTATGTGTCCAGTTGTCTGTCAGCTGCATGTGAGAGACCAGAGGGGCTGCTTGCGTCTCACCAAATACACCCGCAGCACATACAGGGCTTCATGAACCGTTACATGCCATAGAGCCACAAATAGGTCCCTTTAATCCCCGCAGACTCATTTGTTTTGTCCCCTCTTTGGCACTGTACAAGAGGACATAACTGTTCAGCATCTCCTGGATTTGAGCACATTTGTTGCACAGCTGACACTTTCCATCGCACGATTGCGCATTGATATTGTTATGATGGACCAATTTTGGGATAGGTTTACTTGACTATATATGCTACTAACTACTGCTACCCGCTAATTATACTCTTTTACAAGATATTGACTGCACAGAGCCCAGACCTCAGTCCCATCTAACACCTTTAGGATGAGCCACGAGACTGACTGTGAGTCAGGAGGTGATGGAAGACTCCAGGTACATCCCAGTTTTAGTGTTGAAATTGTTCTGTTTTTATACTGTAAGTTGAGACACATGCATGTCTACTTTATAAAGAATGTTTTAAAGCATATTCCTGAGTATTAAATACATGACAAACACTGTAGATGCAAGCTTAATTAAAAAGTAAACATTTTGAAAATACAAGCTTTTCATTTGACAGTTGTCAAGATTGTCAGGCTCATTTTGCACTACTGATTAAAAAAGATTTTTATTTGACTGTTTCCAGTCTCTTGCAGGGTAGCACAGCAGTGACAGTTCAAACTCGTTTTCTTAAGTATATCCTTACAAATGACATTTTAATAAGTATACTACTCCTTGTCTGAGGCTTTGTTTGACACATTGCTACTCTGGTGTCTCTCCAAATTATTGCAGCAGCTGTTTATGGTGTCCTTGGCTCTGCTGTCACATCCACCCTCCTTGGAGTATGATCCAAATGATAGCGAGCAGGTATCTGCAGGTCAGAGCCATCCGTCTCTGCTGTCAGCAAGTGCTACTGAGGCCAGAGAACTGGAGTCTCCTCCCCAGCCTCAACAAGTGAGGTTGTCCAGGCTTGAACAAAGGCCTGCAGTTGAATGGTGTGCTGAACTCTGAGAGCATGAAAATCTGTTGTATGCTAGTGAGATATATATTTTTCTTTCTATTTCTGTCTTGTGATAGAGACATATAGAACCAACCACCATCAGGGTACATTCTAATAAATAAACAGCTGTGTTTTTGCACTGAAATAAATGTATAATTTTGCTATATATAAAAGGAACCTTTATCAGCTAATAACATAGTAGTACCTAAAGGCTTGTAGGTTTCTGTATGTTTGAAATCCCTTTTATGACATATACTGAGCATTACATGAGATTGATTCACTTCTAAAGGTGATTAATCTTGGTAAGGCTTTAGACTACAGCACACAAATCACAATATATTTGTAATGTATATGTAAAGACAACGTATGCATACCAAGACAAATATAGTATGCAAGTTCAACGGAAGAAAACAAGAGGTTAGGAAATTCAGGTATAACAACTTTGTGGTTAGAGCAATTTAAATATGTTTTTCTCATAATTTTTCAAAACAATAATTTCAGTTTAGCTAACCTAAGGCTGTTAAATTTTAGAACTAACTTCACAACACAGTATTGAAAACATAGGAGAATGCTTATAGCCATAGTGTAAGTGAACCAGTGTGTAACCTTAAACTTATAAAAATCAGCAGTAAGTAATTAGGGGTCCTTCCCCTCACTCTGTGCAAGGATACAAATGTATACATTTCTGATTGTCAAGACATATGCTGTTTATTTGAACAGTCTGGCTTTCCCCCTCATTTACATGTATATACATTTAGCGTCCATATGTAAAATTCCCTGTGTAAATGTGTAGCAGTCTAGCAAAAGTAAAGTCTTGATACTAGTTTTTTTTATCATCAGTTTACAGTATAAGCAGTTTATATTCATTCATCAGACTCTTGAAGTAGTTGTCCCTCTTTTCTTCACTGTATTCTATCGCTGCACCTACTGTAAAAAAGCTAACTATATATTTTGTCTCCCACTCACCTAGTTGTTGGAGAACACAGATCCACTACCTGCAGAAAAGGAGATGACCTCATCCCTGCCAACAGTTTGCAACAACAGTCTCTCTTGCTATCCTACCTCTCCTTCCCACCTTTTACCTTTACTTTCTTTGAGTTTGCTTTCAACCTTTCATACAGTTCAGGAAAGTGTTTCTCCTATTAATAATAAATAGATGCTAAAAACACCAAACTGGATGCTAGAAACACCAAAATAAGCGTTATAATATGTTTTATAATAGTATTAGTGTCAACATATAATTAATAGATTTTTTAAAAATGTGATTTATTCTATCTATTAAACATGAGGTGAAAGCTTTTAGAAAAGATTCTCATTGTAAAGCAATGCAAATGCTGCTAAAACTTCATTCATACTGTACTTGATTCAACTGGGACAACTATAAATGACAGAGAACTACAGTATCACTGTGTCACATTGCACGTGCACTGTCTTGCACAGTCTAGATGTGATGGACTATTAAAAACTGTATGATTGGGTTTTCTATATTTATCTTTGTGTATGTCTCTCTCAGATATGCACTCCTACTTTCTGTTCCTGTTTTCCTTAGTTTCGCTCCCAGACTGCAGACTGGAGTGTCCAGTTTTTATATAGGATTATTCATTAGGGAAAACTGTCAGGAAACTATTATTAAACTCTATTACTTCCACAGTGAATGTGTAGTTCCTTAGAGCAGACAAGGATGAGGAGTGGCTGTGGTCGGGAGTTTCAAGGCCTGTTAGATTTGTTCTTAAGGTTTGAACAATGCCAAACATCCTGATTTGAGGGCTATGAAGACAACAGAAACCTTTTCGTTACTAAAAGGTGTGATGCTTTCTTGGGTTGCCCAGTGTCCCACAAAAGCTGTGATGATGTCAACAACAGTCTCCCACCCACATCAGAACCCCCAGAAGCCCACTCCATCAGGACAGAGCAGCAGGTGAGGCAGGTGAGCTGAACAAAGGGCAAAGCAAATCTACTTCCTTTATTTTCAAGAGACAGTTCAGACTTTTCTTTCTGCACAGACTGCTTTTAAATACAGCTTGCATCAGTCATAACAAGCTATTCCAATTCTCACTGGATTCATGAATCTTGGTAAGGACGTCTAAGTTTTTTACTCCAACATCTTCAGCACTTTTAAGCGTGGCTGCACACAAAAGGACCTGGGGGTTTGCTGTGAAAAATGTGGAGGCAATGTATCCCTCTTGCTACATTGCCCTAGGTGATTTTCTGACTGATTCACTGACTTTGATGTCATGAACTAGTTACTGCTGCATTAAGGCTTTTGGATAATTTCT